GAATGTAAGATTGAAAAAATTTTGTTAAAAATGTGCAATTTCTTACCTTAACAGTTTCGTCCAAACACATTAAAATGCGCACATTAATGACATTAAAATCCGCTTTTAAATCCACTTTATAGCGTTATTATTTAAAAACAACATAAATAAGAGCCACATTAATTTATATATCCTCACAAAATTGTAAACAAGTTATTTTAATAACATGTTTTGATAGTATTTTGTTTAAAGAATTCTTTTAAATATTCTATGTTTAAACACTGTAATTACCTGTAATAGTTATGATACCTTTTCCCTCAGCCCATGCATTATTCCACTACCTACCGTATTAGAAGGAGGCTTCGTTGGTGACTGTTGGTGAGATGAGGAGGCGATGACTACTAAAATAGTTATAACAGCTGCAAGCTTCATTCTGACTGTTAAATCCTAAAATAAAAATTAAACATTGTTATTTATCAGGCTGAAACAACAGTAGTTAATTTAATTTCAGTATAAATCAGTTTTAATATTCACTAGAATGTACTGCCTATGCATAAATGGAGTTGTTGTCTTATAGTCGAACTTTCTGGGCCACATGTAATTGATGGGGTTGTATCGAGGGTAATAAAATTAGGACATTGCTACATGTTGTGCCATGTTGACGATGCGTCTTATCTCCTCGGTGTGTGAGTGTGGCATGCCGACGGTTTTCGCATGCAAGTTAGGGACAAGCTAGGGACTTGATCACCACCTGCGATCATGAAACCTGTCACTGTAAGTACTGTGACTGCTATCGTCGACGCTTTATAATCAGAGCGCAACCAGCTAAGGACTTTGTGGATTTGTACGCGTCCCTAGCATTTCAGAAAGATGTAACACCGTACCACCCTTCATTCGATTACAAACTGACACCCCGTTGTAGTCTCGTAATCTGTCTAATGCGGGTTTCGCTCCTTATTGGGGTATAGGGGCGGGGTTTTTGTGTCGGTACAGAAGATTTAAAAGCGATTATTACATAAATTACTAAATTGTAGTCAAATAACTCCTACCGCAGAATTCCAAGTCGGGAGTTCGTTGAGGCATCAACCACAAATAACCTAAAAAACTGATATGTTCTCAGATGAATCAAAAGATTTGTCTTAAGGTGCGATCCCACGTACCGGTTTATCGGCGATCCTATGTCCTAGGTTAGGCCTATGTCACATCATTGACCCGCGTCATGTAAGGTGATCTCAAAGTGCGATCCCACGGACCGATTTTCTTAAATTTTGATGAAAAGCACCCTAAATGTATCCTGCAACTGTGTGTGAAAGAGAATTTGTTCTAGCTATTTCGTGAGCAAAGAAATCGGCGATCCTATGTCCTAGGTTAGGCCTATGTCACATCATTGACCCGCGTCATGTAATGTGATCTCAAAGTGCGATCCCACGGACTGATTTTCTTAATTTTTGGTGAAAAGCACCCTAAACGTATCCTGCAACTGTGTGTGAAAGAGAATTTGTTCTAGCTATTTCGTGAGCAAAGAAATCGGCGATCCTATGTCCTAGGTTAGGCCTATGTCACATCATTGACCCGCGTCATGTAATGTGATCTCAAAGTGCGATCCCACGGACTGATTTTCTTAATTTTTGGTGAAAAGCACCCTAAACGTATCCTGCAACTGTGTGTGAAAGAGAATTTGTTCTAGCTATTTCGTGACCGAAGAAATCGGCGATCCTATGTCCTAGGTTAGGCCTATGTCACATCATTGACCCGCGTCATGTAAAAAACCAGACTTGCTGATAAAGAACATATAACAAAAATATATTAATCGGAAATATAAATAGGTCTATTAAATAAAAGTCAATAATAAAACCAAACTTAATAAAACAAAACCAAACCAACCAAACTTACTGTTAATAAAAAAAATCTTGGACAAAAGGCTGAATGTTACCAGCGGGATTCGAACCCGGGACCTTCGGTATATCAGCCCAGTACGCTATCCATTAGACCACCTAGGCCGTTGCCTCCCGACCGTTTAGTTACGGTAAAAGCATCTAGGCTATATAGAGGTTATATTCCACTAATGATTTTTTAGTGCAATCTTTGCTCAATAGTAATAACTGTTGTTCCTCTATATGAGTGGTTTTTACACGTTTGTAATCAATTTTGGTAGTATGGGGGTTATCATTCAAAAATACCACGGTGGCAAAAGTATTTTGTAACAAAGCTATTGAAAAGAAATCATAATACAACTGAGTTAGGCCTAGGTTAAAATGAAATAACTAGGCCTATATACGAACTGTTACCTTTTTGTTACTCGAGATTATTCTGTTTACAAACAAATTGTTCGTTCCCTAAATTCTTGTTCAAGGAGCTAAGTCCTACTGATTATCAAAATAGCCGGTTAACAAACTCGTACCCGTCGAAACCGAGCATCGACGCTGCGCAGTGGTGCACCCTATGAGCTAGGGATGGCATCAATGCAATTAGTTCCTATATTTACCGTTGCGAGGCGCAATGTCCGTAGACACTCGTTACCCGCTAAAGCAATCGAAATTAACGGTAAGGGGGGGAGCTTTACGCGTTCGATGTTAAATAATGTATATTTCGGGTGTTATCATTCAAAGATACCACATACGATATTTTCAAGCGTAGAAAATCCTCTTCGTATCGATCATGCTCTGGATATCGGAGTGGCGAATATCAAGCCTCGGTTATAGCTGGAAACAGGTTTGCAAGGTTGTGTATACCATAAACATTGTCACAAATATTTCAGATCTGTTTCCCACTTTAGCTGGGTCCCCAGTATAACCGACTTCAGTAATGACGAATTGTCCATGATTACCTGGTAGCCCGAAACAACCGCACTCTCGGTTGGCCTGACTTCACCGACATACACGTACAGACCGATAAACATGGGCTGTCCAACAAATGACGAACTGTTCACGATTACCGGGTAACCCTAAACAACCGTACTCCCGGTTGGCCCGACTTCACCGACATACACGTACAGACCGATAAACACGGGCTGTCCAACAAATGACGAACTGTTCACAATTACCGGGTAGCCCGAAACAACCGCACCTCCGGTTGGCCCTACTTCGCCAACATACACGTACAGACCTAGAAACACGGGCTGTCCATAAAACCACAAATTGTTCACAAATACCGGGTAGCCCGGGACGATCATACATAACCCAGCGCGAACGACCCAATAAAGACCACTAACAAGACGGGTTACGACATGACCAGGGAATAAGCCCTGTTATTTCCTTAAATAAGACATATATATTCCCTATTTAAACAAAACAAGATACAACGAGTGCTTAGATTTGCTGCTACGGGGGAGGTGAAAAGTATTTTTTTGGCCATACGTCAATAGTACGAATGAAATAAATAAATTTGCCAAATTTTTTTCAACATTTTTCCATAAACAAGTACAGTTTTTATTTTCTCCATAAGAATGAGAGCCCACGAAGGGGTTAACTAAATGTACGGCATCAATTCTCCAGCAAGGTAAAACTTGAAGATTTCAAAAATGTCTTCAAATTTGTTTATGACGGTTTCGCAATCTTCGAGGCGCAGGGTATGTAGACACTTGTTACAACCTGTAACAATTGAAAATTGATTAATAATACGATTGACCATACGTCAATGACATAGGACGAAATAAATAAATTTGCCAGATTTTATCAAAATATATCCATAAACAAGTAAACTAATAAAGTTGTTCTTTCTCCATAACAATAACACAAGAAATTTAAAACTAAATCGGTCCCGGGCCCAGATCTTACCACGAATACTCCTAATATCCTTATTAGTAAGTAATTCGCTAAAACGTGTAACTGGCATTATCAAAAAACACTGTTTACTAACGGCAGAATCACCCTGTACAACGAAAATCAATTTTTAACATACACGATCACTTATAATCGATGGTACGTTTCCGAGTATTGATTATAACCAACTACTTATCGGAGTCGATCGGTTTAATAGTGTTAATAACAAACTCAAAACATCCAAAATTAACGATAGTAACACACTACAAGAAAATTAAAACTATATGCCGCTGCCACCGACACTCTGTTGAAGGGAATTTCTGTGTTACATGTTAAAATCACGATCCGCGTTATATTACATTTACTTTTTTACCACCCCCCACCATCAACACTTCAGTCCGACCCAAATCTTCCAATCCGTCATCTCGGTCGTCTACACCTTCAACCAACAAGATGCCAAGATGGATGCCACCGAGTTCTACAGCATACAGAATTTACACCAGTTTCACCATTCGCACACAAGCACAATGGTTCTTCACCGGTACAGCATTTTATGTTCTTAACGATGTCGGAAAGATTTTCTCGTTCTGAAGTACCATATTTATCGAGGAACAGGGCCACACGAGTCCCCTATAATCGATCACCTAGTCTACACGCGACCTGTACATTCGGACACCCCAAATAGTAATTAATCACTTTTTGAAAAAGTTTGTGTGGACAACTAATAGTGTATACAAACAGAGTATGTACCACGACAAAATCGAGGCCATTTCTAGGATGTTCACTCTTCAGGAATTCTCGTACAACCTGACAAGGAAAGCATTCGTTGGTAAATCTTAACTTATACTACTTATGTTATACTGAACTTATTTTACCTTATCTACCTAGATTAGGCTGTTTTAAGCACTTTTTACCATTGGCACTTTTGGGGGGGGGGGCGCCTATTTCACCCTGAAAATCACGTTCGAGAGTAAAGAAAAATGCTAGAAATCAATGAGTTTTGGGGCTTGATAACATAGGTGCATAGGGTGATTTTTTTTATTATTAGGCTAGTCCATTTTAAACACACTTGACAAATTCCGTTTTTACCTAAGAAACCAGGTTCAAAAATTGTGGAAAATATTGAAGTAGGTATTAAAAATTAGAGTAGCCTACCACATTTTTTGGAAAAACCAAATTGAGTATATACTAAACTGACGTAACCTAACCTAACCCAACCCAACCCAACCCAACCCATGCTTAGGTTTACAATGTACCGAAATGACCGATTTTGGGTAAACCCTGGTTATGCTAGGTTAGGTTAGTCCTATTAAGTTATCGACACGAAGTAAAAACAAGTTGGGTCTTGGGTCCCTACCTACAGTTTCTTAACTTAGCGATGATAATACCGATTATTAGCAAACATTCATTCGACGATTCCACTATTAGCAAATTTGGTTGGTTAAGTTGGTTATTATAGTATTTTATAACTTATATAGGCTAGCTGGTAAATATATCGATTATTAAACAATATTTTAAATTTGATAGTTGCTATAGACACTAGTATAAGTTAGTCCATGTAAGAAATTGTACCAAAACAGGTTTTACACAGATTCCCATCATTAGTATTAGTTTTTCAAACACGATTTCCATGGTGAAATAGACGTTTTCCCCAAAAAGTGCCAATGGTAAAAAGTGTTTAAAGTAGTACAATTTAGGAAGATAAGACAGAAGAGGTTCAATATAACATAAGTAGTATAATTTCAGTTTTACCAATTCGGTCAACTAGAAAGTACATGTTATCATCACGCATTATAACATGTTTCTTATTTTCACTTCGCCAATTTTAGCCTACTAAATTATTATAATTTCCTTACGTCCTCTCAGGTGCTGAAAAACAACAAATAGCATAACCAAAATTTCGTCCACTTTGTCAATAGCCTATGGCCCGCTAAACAACATCAGATACCATAACCTAAATATCGTCCACTTTGTCAATAGCCTACGAAAACTATTTCGGGTACAGAAAGCTCAACAGCACACTTATTAATAACAAAAAACATGACCCATATCTTATTCAATTTATCAATACCAACTATTCCTGCCATTCAAATTAACCCGAATACCTCGCGAAGCCCGGGCACATCGGGCTCCGGTTGACGGCCCGGGTATAACACCAAAACACACCGGGCAACCGTACAAGCCCTGTAACTTTCAGGTACCGAGTACTCGAGTACTTATTAATAACACATGTTATAGCCTATTCCTTTTACATTTTGTTATTAACAACTGTTGCACCTTCCACATAAACAGATTAATTAAGATTTTGTACATGGCTACTGTACTCTTTCAGGTACTGAAAACTTGAGTACGCCCACTCATCAACAACAGACATGATGACACGTTACTTCTTCACTTTGTCAATACCAATCATTCTAACATTCACACGTATTACAATGTTACTACTTTCAGGTACCGAGTACTCGAGTACTTATTAATAACACATGTTATAGCCTATTCCTTTTACATTTTGTTATTAACAACTGTTGCACCTTCCACATAAACAGATTAATTAAAATATTGTATATGGCTACTGTACTCTTTCAGGTACCGTAAACTTGAGTACGCCCACTCATCAACAACAGACATGATGACACGTTACTTCTTCACTTTGTCAATACCAATCATTCTAACATTCACACGTATTACAATGTTACTACTTTCAGGTACCGAATGCTCGAGTACCTATCAATAGCATTTATTGTAGCCTATGCTCCCATTCCAGGGTCCTAAGTACTGTTGGTGAGATCGTCGCTGGCCCTCGTCGCCCCGTTAGAAAACATGATCCATATCTTATTCAAATTATCAATACCAACTATGCCTACCATTCAAATTAACCCGAATACCTCGCGAAGCCCGGGCACATCGGGCTACGGTTGACGGCCCGGGTATAACACCAAATCAGACCGGGCAACCGTACAAGCCCTGTCTCTTTCAGGTACTGAGTACTCGAGAGTACTACTTATTAATAACACATGTTATAGCCTATTCCTTTTACATTTGTTATTAACAACTGTTGCACCTTCCACATAAACAGATTAATTAAAATATTGTATATGGCTACTGTACTCTTTCAGGTACCGTAAACTTGAGTACGCCCACTCATCAACAACAGACACGATGACATGTTACTTCTTCGCTTTGTCAATACCAATCATTCTAACATTCACACGTATTACAATTTCACTACTTTCAGGTACCGAATGCTCGAGTACCTATCAATAGCGTATATTATAGCTTATGCTCCCATTCTAGGGTCCTAAGTACTGTTGGTGAGATCGTCGCTGGCCCTCGTCGCCTCGTTGTAAATTTTTCGGGTGTTGACACGGATATAACACCAAAGCCCGTCAAAGACGGGTACACTACAACAGCCAGGCCAACGTATGATCTAGTCTTCCGTCGATTTGCACAGGCTCACGCTTATGAGTACGTGATTGGCGATGCCACTTTCAGGTACAGAATGCTCTAGTACTTATTAATAACACATATTACAGCCTATTCATTTTACATTTTGTTATTAACATCTATTACACCTCACACATAACCAGATTATTATAACTTTCGTATATGCCTACTGTACTCTTTCAGGTACCAAAATACTTCTCCGGATGGGGACTGCCACGACGATCTCGCCATCCATTGTGGTGTGGGTATCGATTGTATTGGTGGTCCTGTGTATGTTCCAGTTGTTGACGAAGGTTGTTGGGACCCGCCGTCCATGAAGAAGTTGTCGGTGGATTATACACCGGACTCGGTTATCCCAGAAGAGACTCCACTCCAAGTGGGCCGTACATTTAGAACAGGTCCGATAGTAACTTCCATCCATCACATTTCTTACTTGCCCAACTTCACCAGGCCATCGCTATTGCACCGGGTACACCTTACTAGATTCATTGTAGCAACAAACCTAGATACTCACTAAACCTAATATAATTTAAATAGACCTAATCGAAAATCAATTCAAACGAATGGAAATTCGCTTAGTCGACCCTGTGACACAGGACTACAAATGGTAACCAGCACTGAAGGGCCGTTGAAATAGTCCAGACCTTTCACACACACTTCAGTTCCGTGTAGTCATATTTAATAGCACTTACTAAATAACCCGGGTTTCACGAGTTGCCCTGGCCAATACCCAAGGCCCGAGGGGACAGGGTCATGACTGTTACCCGGCACTGACGGGCCCGTGGCACAACCCGGACTGTTTCATGCATACAGTACTTCAGTTCCACGTAGTCACATTTTATGCCATTTGCTAAAAAAACGGGGTTTAACGAGTTGCCTGGACTAGCCCGGGTTTCACAAGTTACCCGGGTCAATACCAGGTACCCGGTGGGACGGGGTTATGAATGTTACCCGGTACTAAGGTAACTGGGACATAGCATTGACTGTTTGCTATATACACTAGTTCCGCGCAAATTGCTCCAGTGTCCACTCAAGATAACAACAGCTTGAATGTTATGTTACAGAAGACGGGAGAAAAAGCCGAAAAACGACAGACACCAACAAGGAAAGCAGCAGACACCAAGATCAAGAAAAGCACAGACACACGCTATTACGATGGTGTCTCTGAGGTTTCGACACATCAGCTTTGTTGACTTCATGATGGCGTTTAACTTCGTCAGGCGTTCAAGTTTATTGAATATGGCGTGGGCGAGAGTACATACTGCAGTGCACTGGTTATACCCAACAGAAAACCCAGTGTGAACCCGCCTCTCGCTCTCCCATGCCTTTCTCTTCTCGAAGATCAGCCCATCCTCTTATATCGCTCTCTCTACTAGTTGTGATATCTGGAACAGACGCGAAAACAATGGTAATAGAATTATTTGTGTTAGAGATCGGTTAACCCTTGACCTGGCGTTGGTCCCTAGGGGACTAGAAATTGTTGAGTTCTCAGTGGCGGTGGTCCGCTAGGGACCAGAAAGACATAGTTTGGAACTTTCTATTTCTATAATACTGAAACAGTTTAAAACCGAAATCAATCTTATACCATTAGAAAGAAGAGATTCTGAGGATTAATTTGTATGTATAAAACATCATTGAACGAGAATTATGTAGCGAAGAAACATAGTTAGAAAAACTAGAGCGTTCAAAATTTATTTTGGCGGTGGAAAGTATTAGTCGCATGGCAACGAAAACAGCGGTTTTTTGTTTAGGAGTATTTATATGTTATAGATGAGTACGAGTGACCAGAAAGTGTTGCCACTGAAGAGAGGCATGACCCCAAAATACACCCGCCACTGAGGACTAAAATGACCGCCAGATCTAGGGTTAACCCAACTGTCTGGGTTGCAATGCAAATTTACCAAAACGTACTCTCAGGGTACAAGCGAAACACTTAAACTACAAGACTAGAGAAAATAAATATCTGACATATGCATCCGGTACAATACCAACCTGTGTCCAGGATATAGCATTTAGTACTCTCATAAGACTTCTTCCCTTTACCCGCGAGGTTGTAACTCTTACCGATCTCCTTCCTTAGGAGTTATCTCATTAGGTTGCATCCCAAACACAAACCACGAGCTATTTACTCTCCACACAGTTAATACCAATTATTCTAAAACGTTTTATATTAACTTTCCCGTCACCTTCAGATGACCAATGGGACAAGGTTGTAGATGGTGCCCGGTACTGCCGGGGCCAGTGACAAAGCCCGAACTGTTTCGTGTTTACCTCAGTTCCAAGTTGTCATGTTTCACGATACTCACTAAATAACTGGAAAACGGATGTCACAATAAGTGCCGTTTCACGCATACAAACTGATATTACTCTAGTACCGCGACAACTAGGTGTGTATAACAGCTTGAATGTTATGTTACAGAAAACGAGAGAAGGAGCCGAAGAAACAGCAGAGACAGCAAACGTCGAAAGGGGCACAAAAGAAGACTAGCACTGACAACGCACGACTCCTCAAACCCATCCACCGTTTAACCAACTTAAATTTTAATAACTTTACAATATTTAAATCCCATCTTGTATCTAACCACACAAATATTGTACAAATAGTTTCAGGCCACATGTTCTGCCAAACAACCAATTAACACTAATTAATAACTAAACACCGATCAATGACATTTTTTAAACGCACCTTTAAGAGTGCTCCAACGAGTCGTTGTGCACACCGGGTAGTGTGGATCTTGTTTGTATGAATGATTTTGTATTTAATATGTGTTTCAAGTTCATATTGCCTACATTATGTTCTCGAACACCCTCCTTGCTACTCGAACATACTCCAGGAGGCTGCCATGTTTATATTAATAGTTACGACGTACTACCATTCGATATCTATGTATTATTTCATGACAATAAACGAAACTGTGTCACAAAACGAGTTATGATTGCATGTACCCGAACTGAATACATATCTCACACCTAAGCAAGAATCAAACAAGAGTAGACAAAACATGATTACTCCAGGTAACAAATGCAAGTCAACAGAAAAGGAAAAGGGTAACAAAGGGAAACTTTACTACCGATTACTCTAAAGGAGATATGCATATATTGGGCGGCGTGAATAAAAACTAGAATTTGCTTAAACTGAGCTGATCTCAAGTATATATACTACCCATAGTAAATTCTAAAATTACCAAATGACTAGAACCTTTGTAGGTGAATAAATGCCAGTTATTACTAGCAAGCGCTAGTATAGTCCTAAAGATTTTTGAACTAGGGGTAGGCAGGCTAGCATTCTAGTGACGGAGGCAAAACAAAAGGTTTATCAGTCATCATGGCTATGTTTAGTACATTTACTATCACGCTTGCTGGCTTAAGCATATGCAATCGTAACAGTGTTTACTTATATAAACTATAATTTAATTTTCTTACGAATTTCCCTAAAAGAAGTATCTATTACCTAAGCTGATCACAAGTATATATACTACCCACAGTAAATTCTAAAATCACCAAATGCCTAGAATATTCTAACCTTTGTAGGTGAATAAACGCCAGTTATTACTAGCAAGCGCTAGTATAGTCTTAAAGATTTTTGAGCTAGGGGTAGGCAGGCTAGCATTCTAGTGAAGGAGACAAAAAAAGGTTTATCAGTTATCATGGCTATGTTTAGTACATTTACTATTACGCTTACTGGCTTAAGCATATACAATTGTAACAATGTTTAGTTATATAAACTATAATTTAATTTTTTTTGCGAATTTCCCTATAAAGAAGTAGCTATTACCGTAAGTGGCGCGGTAAGACCTAGGCCCGGGACCGATTACCTTTTTCATTTTGATGTCTCCAGAGGCCAAAAGACACATTTCGTTCAAATTTTTACTTTCTCCCCATATACCATAGTATATGGAGAAAGTATTGTTTGCCTAATGATCCAAGTATATTCTTAATAGTTTTAGCAAATTCTCATTCACCTCGTTATAGACCAATAGACACGGGCTACCGGAGAAATCAGAGATTACGCGCGATTACCGGATAGTCAACAAAACCAAGAAACATACTAACCCGGAACAACCAGATTCCGGGTTGGCCCGACTTCACAGACATACACGTACAGACCAATAGACACGGGCTACCGGAGAAATCAGAGATTACACGCGACTACCGGATAGTCAACAAAACCAAGAAACACACTAACCCGGAACAACCCGACACAGACATACACGTACAGACCTACAAACACGGGCTGTCCAACAAATCATGAATTAATCACTACCACCGGGTAGCCCAAAACGATCACACATAACCCAGCGCGAACGACCAAAAAACGAATACGGACGAGACAGGCTATGACATGACCAGGATATAACAAATCGACATATATTCTAGCCGTTGATTATTGTAATAACGCAACGCCAATTGTCCACACCCACCTAGCATTGACTACGAATTCACCCAAGGCCTACAGAGTTTTATTTATCAACTTGACAGTTCTATTCTAACATTCACACGTATTTCACTGTAACTACTTTCAGGTACCGAATGCTTGTATAACCGAATAACCGCATACAGATCAACAGCATATATTATAGTCTAGTCCCTTTTCAAATTCGTTATTACCAATTATCATACTTTCGTGTGTTGTCACTACGACTTCTTACAGGTACAGAGAGCTCGAATACCTACAGTATCGATAACACTTATTATAGCCCATCTACATCTATGTAGGTTGCACTATACCCGTCAAATATCCGGTGAAATAGGCCAATACAAACAGTTAATCGACAGAAGACTAGATCAACAACTATAAGTATAAAAGAAGATATTTGTCGCGAAACGATCACACATAACCCAGCGCGAACGACCCCAGAACGAATGCGGACGAGACGGGCTATGACATGACCAGGATATAATCAAATTTCTGTTTGTCAACATTATCAGTTGTCTACACAAACTTTTTAAACAATAGAAACAATGAAAAACCTTACGGGGTTTTCATGTTGTTGGCTTGTTGTAGTGACTATTGCTTATAGAAATTATATCCCGGACACCGAAGACCTGTTCACACTGGATTTTCTGTTGGGTATTTCCAGTGCACTCCAGTAGGTACTCTTACACTTAGTTTACACGCATTTTTTTGGAGCGGTTCCCTAACACCCCCAGACTCACTGGTTCACCACGCCCTTGTGACTACTATAGATCCGCCACGGGCAGTGTGTGAAGAATTTGATACGAACTAACATCCACATTGACATCCCCTCCTACCCGATGTATTCTGACGAACGTATCTAAATCAGGAAACCGAACTTACATCATGGCCACATCACATGTGTTATAGATGAGTACGAGTGACCAGAAAGTGTTGCCACTGAAGAGAGACATGACCCAGCTATGGTACCGCATGATCGCCAATCATGTACTCATAAGCGCGAGCCTCGGCAAATCGACGGAAGACTAGATCATACTCTTGGTAACGCGAGTCCTGAATAAATAATCGAAATTTCTGTTTGTGAACATTATTAGTTGTCTACACAAACTTTTTAAACAAGTTCAAAACTGAAAACCTTAAGGGGCTTTCATGTTGTTGGCTTGTTGTAGTGGCTATTGCTTACAGAGATTTGATCCCGGACACCGAGGACCTGTTCACACTGGATTTTCAGTTGGGTGTATTCAGTGCAGTCCAGTAGTGACTTCAGTGCAGTCCAGTACTGACTACTATAGATCCGCCACGAACAGTGTGTGAAGAATTTAATACGAACTAACATTCGGATTGACATCCCCTCCTACCCGTTGTATTCTGACGAACGTATCTAAATCAGGAAACCGAACTTACATCATGGCCACATTACATATGTTATAGATGATTACGAGTGACCAGAAAGTGTTGCCACTGAAGAGAGGCATGACCCAACTATGGTACCGCATGATCGCCAATCACGTACTCACGAGCGCGAACCTCTGCAAATCGACGGAAGACTAGATCATACTCTTGGTAACACGAGCCCTGAATAAATGATCGAAATTTCTGTTTACGGGCAGTGTGTGAAGAATTTGATACGAACTAACATCCACAATGACATCCCCTCCTACCCGATGTATTCTGACGAACGTATCTAAATCAGGAAATCGAACTTACATCATGGCCACATCACATGTGTTATAGATGAGTACGAGTGACCAGAAAGTGTTGCCACTGAAGAGAGGCATGACCCAGCTATGGTACCGCATGATCGCCAATCATGTACTCATAAGCGCGAGCCTCGGCAAATCGACGGAAGACTAGATCATACTCTTGGTAACGCGAGTCCTGAATAAATAATCGAAATTTCTGTTTGTGAACATTTATAGTTGTCTACACAAACTTTTTAAACAAGTTCAAAACTGAAAACCTTAAGGGGCTTTCATGTTGTTGGCTTGTTGTAGTGGCTATTGCTTACAGATATTTGATCCCGGACACCGAGGACCTGTTCACACTGGATTTTCAGTTGGGTGTATTCAGTGCAGTCCAGTAGTGACTACTATAGACCAGCCACGAACAGTACGTGAAGAATTTAATACGAACTAACATTCGGATTGACATCCCCTCCTACTCGATTTATTCTGACGAACGTATATGAATCGAGCAACGGAACTTACATCATGGCCACATTACATATGTTGTAGACGAGACCCAACTATGATACCGCATGATCGCCAATCACGTACTCACGAGCGCGAACCTCTGCAAATCGACGGAAGACTAGATCATACTCTTGGTAACACGAGCCCTGAATAAATAATCGAAATTTCTGTTTGTGAACATTATTAGTTGTCTACACACACTTTTTAAACAAGTTAAAAACTGAAAACCTTATACTAGATCATACTCTTGGTAACGCGAGTCCTGAATGAATAGTCATAAGCGTGAGCCTGTGCAAATCAACGGAAGACTAGACTCTTGGTAACGCGAGTCCTGAATAAATAATCGAAATTTATGTTTGTGAACATCACTAGTTGTCTACACAAACTTTTTAAACAAGTGAAAAACTGAAAACCTTATGGGGCTCTCATGTTATTGGCTTGTTGCAGTGGCTGTACCGCATGATCGCCAATCACGTACTCACGAGCGCGAACCTCTGCAAATCGACGGAAGACTAGATCATACTCTTGGTAACACGAGCCCTGAATAAATGATCGAAATTTCTGTTTACGGGCAGTGTGTGAAGAATTTGATACGAACTAACATCCACAATGACATCCCCTCCTACCCGATGTATTCTGACGAACGTATCTAAATCAGGAAATCGAACTTACATCATGGCCACATCACATGTGTTATAGATGAGTACGAGTGACCAGAAAGTGTTGCCACTGAAGAGAGGCATGACCCAGCTATGGTACCGCATGATCGCCAATCATGTACTCATAAGCGCGAGCCTCGGCAAATCGACGGAAGACTAGATCATACTCTTGGTAACGCGAGTCCTGAATAAATAATCGAAATTTCTGTTTGTGAACATTTATAGTTGTCTACACAAACTTTTTAAACAAGTTCAAAACTGAAAACCTTAAGGGGCTTTCATGTTGTTGGCTTGTTGTAGTGGCTATTGCTTACAGATATTTGATCCCGGACACCGAGGACCTGTTCACACTGGATTTTCAGTTGGGCGTATTCAGTGCAGTCCAGTAGTGACTACTATAGACCAGCCACGAACAGTACGTGAAGAATTTAATACGAACTAACATTCCGATTGACATTCCCTCCTACTCGATTTATTCTGACGAACGTATATGAATCGAGCAACGGAACTTACATCATGGCCACATTACATATGTTGTAGACGAGACCCAACTATGATACCGCATGATCGCCAATCACGTACTCACGAGCGCGAACCTCTGCAAATCGACGGAAGACTAGATCATACTCTTGGTAACACGAGCC